ATGTGGGACCTCTCATCCGTCGAGTACGATGCTTAGCTCACCTTAGGATCTCTCGAAAACACGAACAGTGCCTATGACGACGCGCGGTGGGATCCTGAGCCCACGGCACCTATCCCCCATTATAAGGACGAGTTCATGGGATGTAAGCACTTTTGCCAGTGAGAAGAGGTGAGACGCGTACTATGAGAAGTTGAGGGCGAGACCGAGGCCTTGAAAAGCTCAAGATCTTGAGCCTGAACTTGAAGGAGAGGACATACAGATAGATGGAGCATTCGCCTCGATGAGGTGGCGCGTGCTTTGCAAAGCCCCATTGACGAAGATCGGTGAGGGAATGTGCTAATACTACACCCCAGATCTTTAGAACGCGCTTTTACCCTGAGACTGAACTACACGCCGGTCGCATGGGTGAACCCAGCATGTGGCGTCGTATCTCGTGAGTGAAAAGTACAATGTCCGACACCTCTACTGACCAGATAATTATACCCCTGTGTAGAGTTAGTACTATAAACCTAATCATGACGCTTGGAATACGCCTGAATCGGCCCCGCTTCCTGTGCATAACGCCTTTCCCCGCTGCCTCAAGATCCCCCGTCCCGGATGTCCACGTCACCGGCTTCTGCATCACCCGCCGGCTTCTCCATTACTTTTCCCAGCATATCGACATTGATATCCGGCACGAGAAACGTCGTCCGACCTGCGAACTCTACGGATACTTCACCCGTTAGTTCCCCTCCCCCCTCATCTACTTCCGATTTCCGGCTCAATCACACATCCAGGCGCGACGATCTCGGCGCACACTTACGCAATCAACGCGACGGAAGTCTGATGCGCGACGACGGAGGCCGCGCCACGCTCGAGGCCGACTCCTCAACTTGCCTTGGCGAGTTGAGCCGCATACATCGAGCCCACCCCACCCAACGGCACGACATGTAGACAGTGACTCGAACACGTGTCACTACGTGCGCCGCGGGATCTTGGCAGGACCGAGTGAGTAGCCCACGCGCGGACAAGGCGCGCTACTCTGAGAGCGGCTCAAAGCCTGCCGAATGGAGATAGAGCAATGATCTCGCAGAGGTCGACTTTTCCTCCCCGCCCCCTTCCTCCTCGCGCGGTCTCGGCCCTGTGACGCGTCACGCCCATCCTCGTGTACCCTCTGTGCATGCTCTGGCGAGCTCTGCTGAACACCGGACGCGTCGTCGACGATGCAGAACGCCTTGAACGCGCAACGGCTCCCCGCGCAAGAACGGGTTTGCCACACCCGAGCCCCGCCTTCCG